ATCTGAATCCTTGACTTTGGAGTAGAAAACCCTGAAGGGAAAAGGGGAAAAAAAAATCAATCCCATTTTTTTCACTTCAGAGCAGCTATAAGAAAAATAAAATCATCCACCCCTTATGTTTAAATAACTACAAAGTCTAGGGTACATAATGTTTAAAAATGATAAAAAGAATTCTCCTCCAAGTCTGTTGAGGCTGTCAGCTAAGAAAGCAGGATGCAACCATCTCTGCAGAGGAATCCTTCAATGCACTGCAGCATATAGACAAGCCATTTTCCCAAAGCTGAGCTCTTGGGCTTAGAAACTTGATGAAAAATAACCTGAATTTATTTCCACATTAATTGATGCTGTGGACTGAATGTTTGTGTCCTCCCAAAATTCCTGCGTTGAAATCCTAGCCCCCAAAGTGATGGATTTGGGAGGTGGAGCCTTTGAAGGGTGATTAGGTCATGAGGGTGGAGCCCCATGAATAGGAGACGCCAGAGAGCTCTCTCACCTCTATAAGGAGACAGTCCTCTGTGAGTCAGGAAGTGGGTCTCAACAGATACCTAATGTTCCGGGACCTTGATCTTGGACTTCCAGCCTCCAGAACTGTGAGAAATAAATGTTTGTGTTTAAACCACCGAGTCTATGGTATTTTTGACACAGCAGCCCCAGCGGACTAAGACAATATGCATCTCGGAAGGGTTGTTTGTTTAGAGAGTCCTTACTCCCATGGTTTCCAACAGAGGGGCCATTTGAAGATGCTAAGACTGATGGATGACTTGCTGGTTGTTACCTGTTGAAATCTGAGAGAAGACTACGTCCTAATCAGAAGAGAGCCATTTGGAGAAAGCCTTCTGATACCATTTACTGCCCAAGAAATCGACATTTGCTTTGTAATTCCCTGCCTGTTGGCAATAGCTGTGGTGAGTTTCTGTGTTGATGGACTGTTGTGTTCCTTACACGACTCATTTGGAGGGCAGGTTATCAGCCTCAGCACAGTCCTGGTGTTAAGATACGTTTTCATTTTTCCGTGGGTCAAGCTCGAAGAACCATGTCTTCATTTACCCTTATTTGCATGTCTGTATTTTCATCATCATCACCTCCTGCCATACACAATATTCTTCCTCCCTGTCTATGCAAAGGTATAACCCCGTGGTGGTTTAAAACATCTCAAAAAAACATGTCAGATACACGCAGGTTGCAGAATCCTCTCCATTTTGGGAAAAAAATTTCTGGCACATCCACATGACCTCATCTACCATCACTCTTCTTTTTGTAACTTTGCTTCAGCCACACTGGTCTTCTTGCTGTTTCTCGAATGTGCCCATCACATCAGAGCTCTGCACTGGCTGTTCCATCGACCTGAACTGCTCTTCTCCAAGGTATCCACACTGCTCACTTTCTTATCACCTCCAGGTCTTTGACCAAATATCACCAACTTAGTGAAGTGCTCTTTTGACAGTCCTACTAAACGTGTAAACCTATGGCAGGCAGCTATGGAGACGACCCTCAGTGATCCTTGCCTCCTGGTGACATCCCCTCCTCTTGAGTGTTGGCTGGAATGAGTGACTCATTTCTAATCACTAGAATCTGGTCAAACTGAGGGGATGTCATCCTTCCAAGATCAGGCTCGAGAAAGACTCTGTCTTCTGTCTTGCTTGCTTGCTTGATCTAATGGAAACCAGCTGCCATGCTGGCATTATGGAGAGACCTAAGTGGCAAGGAACTGAAGGAAGACTCTAGCCAACAATTTGTAGCGACTAAGGCCCCCCATCCAACTGCCTCAGAGGAACCAGATCCTGCCAAGTACCACGTGACTGAGCTTAGAAGAGAATCCTCCCCTCACTGAGGCTTGAGATGACTGAATCCCACGAGGCTCCTTGACCGCAGCATGAGAGACTCTGATTCTGAGGACTGAGATCAGCCTGGATTTCTGACCAGCTCAAACTGTGAGATAACAAATATTTGTTGTTCTGAAATAACTAATACAATACTCTCACTCCGCCCACCAAACATAGTTTCTTTTCTGTTATATTTTCCTTCATACCACTCACCATCATTGATGTTCAATTTAGTTTACTTACTGACAGTGTCCACCAACATCTACTAAAACGTGAGATTCACAAAGGCAAGAATTTTTGTCTTTTCCTTTTCACCAATATATTTTTAATGTCTAATCATTGCCTGACACAGAGCAGTCCATCAATAAACATTTGATAAATACATGAATTATTATATCAGTCAATGATAAATTATCTGTTTTTCCTCCTTCACTTGTCTTAACTGTCATAAACAGTTTAATTGTAATAAACAATCTCACATTCAACCCTCAGGCTTTAGGACTTTTTTTCATAATTAATAAATATTTGCTGAGAGGATCGAGCAATGGATAAATTAGAGAAAAATGTTTCTTTTGCTAAATGCATTAATAATCAAGTCAGGGAATGACCTAAGGACCCATTATCTCCAAGTCAGTGTTTAATAGAGGCCAAGGCTCAGACCGTGGTGGTAAAAAAAAAAAAAGGTTCAGAATTCTAGAGTTTCTGTTTTCACACACAAAATGTAGGTCATTGCCTTCTTAAGAAAATTACCTTATTTCTTTCCCATTATTCAAAAACATGGTTCTAGTGGGAAAAACAAATAGAAAAATGCCTTCCATTCTGAAAGAACTGTTTTTAATCAACGTGACATAATGGTACATGCCTAGAAGAGAGGACAGTGTCCGCCATCACCTTATGAAAAGAATCTGGGTAGATTTTTGCGGGTTAGGTTTCAGCTTCAGTGATGGAGCTGTGATGATCGATGTCCCATCCGTCTGTTGAAAACCGATATCCATGGAGAAGGCGTCACTCACAGGTCCAAGAGAGAGGGTACTGGTAACCTGTCTGCGTTCTCAGCCACACTCACGCACAGTGATCACACAGGCGAGATCTTTGGGGGGTCACTGCCTCTTTGCTGTTTGCGTCAAGCCTCACAACACTTGGTATCATCAGATTAGAGGAGGTAGGATTGTTGTGTGGTAATGAGAATCACACGCAGTTTGGAATTCAGACAAGACTGAGTTTGAATGTTCTGCCTGAAGTATTACACAGCCAGAAAGTGAAAAAGCCAACCTTCATCTATGAAATGACTATAATGGCTCGTTTCAAAGTCTCCCAAGATTACACAGCCAGAGAGTGGAAAACCTAATTTTAATCCATAAAATGAATATAAAAGCTCTTTTCAAAGTCAAAGAGCCAATGAATACAGTATTTAAGCACCCAGCACATAGTAAGCCCTTAAAGACTTATTTCCCTACCCTACCATGGAAATATTTATAGTCTATGTGATGCCTGAAATAATGACATTTTCCATCCACTATTTCTAAAGTTAGATTTGAGGCCACTTTTCCTAGAACAAGGAAGTAACATAAAACGCTCCAGGATAAGGTTATAGGGGACAAAAGGTGAACAGTTTGTTAAGTTACAAATTAAAAAAAAAACAACAAAAAAGAAAGATTCGACTAAATCCTCGGGTTGTTTTGGTTATACATATTTACTCTAAACATCCCCTGTATATCTATCATTTTCCCCCAAAACTACACTTTTTACTAATTTCAATTAATTTATATCCAAGCCTTAACATGGACTCACCACTCATATGGATAAGTGGAAAAAAACATATTTTTTCAATGTCCTTTAAGACTCTTGTTCCTTTGCAAATAAAAATACACTTATTTAGGAAGATGCATTAAAATAGTACATTGAGTGTCCCTCCCACTTCAGTCTTTCCTTCCAGTTTCAAATGTTGTCACGGTCTGGTTTTGTAGGGGACCAATGTCTTGGATTTATCATAGTTCCCATGTTCTAAAAACTGGCTTCAGCAGGAATGACACCTATCAGTTACTCTGGTTCCCTCTCTATCTCTGTCTCTGCTTCTCCCTTTCTCTCCCCCTCTTTCTCTCTCTGCTGATTTGAACTGAACTGAGCTCTGGACCCTGTTCACTTTTAAACTTATTTTTGGCTTAATTTCAGGAACCCCTTACATGGTATTCTGCAAAACAGCTGAGGTTCAGGCACTTCAAGTCATTTTATTGGTTAAAATCTGACTTAAGAGAGGGGTTGATCTACATCTTCTGAAGAAAAGTGGCAAAGTACATTATTCTGTCTTAAGGATCTGACTCACTCGTACGGGAAACATTCAGCAGAACGACTCCAGTCCTGTTTTCCTAAAGAGCTTTCAGTTCACATGACTACATAAGAGTATAATGCAAGTGACCAGAATCCACCGAGTGTTTAGGAAAGTTCTTGTTTATCACCTATATCCAACAACAAGGGAGATATTTCAATTATTTATATTAAAGAATTCATTCTGTCTAGAGAGAAAGGACGGGTAAGTGTACAGTTTTCTGAATAGATACTCAAAGACAAAAGTTCTAAGATTTTAATGAACAAGAAAAAAAGCTTCAGAGAAATTACGGTGAACACAGCAGGAGAAAATTCTCTGCTTCTAATCTACATTAAAATAAGTCTAGAAAAATGGATGTTTTTATTTCCTCTCCTATCATGATATATAATCCTTGGAAAAGAGTTAATCTATTTTTCCTGAAGTATTTTAGGGGATGTGTAAATGCACACCTGAAGCCATATATTCATAAATGTATACATATATATGGGAAGCAATGGTTTGCTTCTGCTGGAAATTATCGAATCTCCCATCTGATATTGAATATGGACCATAAGGAAGTCGCTTTCAGATATCTGCCTTAGAGTGCACTATGGTCTCTTTAATAAACTCTACAGAGGTCAATTTGAGACTCCTTTAGACAAAAGCTTCAAAAGAACTCAAGGAATATGACACACAGACTCCTAGTTAAAGCACTTGTAGAGGACATTAAGTTACTTTAATTGCATTCAATTCAACACTGATATTTACATTGCCAGATATAGAGCATTGCCGCTTCCTAACCAAGGGAGACTAGCATGAGCAAAACATAGGCTGAATGACTGTGCATAATAACAAAAATAGAGCCACGCTTACCTGTATGCACTCTCCCCATAGAGGATCTAAGAGCTGGGGGCTCACAGCAGGGCAGTGGGAAAAATGTTCTGTAGTTAATAATACAGGGAAGAAAAGCTCCAGACACCAAGAACCCGGGTTAACCATTGACACCGGTTTGTTCCTACAGTTCCCCCCTGGGAACCTAAATAGGTAGCCCTTGGCATCTTATAAAGCAGGCGACAGCCAGTCAGCTGAGACTAAGGTTACGTCCCCGCCTCTGTCCTTCGGGAGGAGGTACAGTGTGAAGGGCATTCAAGCACACACTGGCTAACTTCTCACTCAGTCTGCGACACAAAGGAGGAAGATTTCCTGGGCCAGAAATCCGAGCAACAATGCCAGTAAGAGACTCAAATATTTACAAACAGGGTCGTTGGGCTCTGACCTATGGAAACAGTCCTGCTGGTGTTTCAGACCTTGTCTGAGCAAGGCGAAGAAACTCTCTTCACCAGAGTTCTCTGTCCGCTCGTAGCGGGTCGGAGTTGAGACTGGATGCCAATGAAAGCTGAGACAAGACAACCAGAACTAGCCGAGCATCCATTCGTCCCCCTCTTTCACGTGCCCTTAATGATTATTTACCCCGTGCAGCTTAGTCACAAAAGCCAAGCGTCCATATTTGAATAAGCCTTGATAAATGTAAGAGACTGAGGCTGAAGGCTTCTCCCCCACCCCCTCAACCTCAAGAATCAGAGTTTAAGACAGAGGTGACAAGTAAAACACAGGCTGTTGTCCAGATTCAGAATGCCCAATCGGATCGTTCCTCCACCCCAGCAATTAGTCTTAAGGGATTAAATGAAACATGGACACGGTCCTGTGGTCAGGTTGGCTGACCAGAAGTCGGGAAATTGAGTAGAAAGTGAAGAGGTGGTAGAGTCAAGAGAAAGATCCAGAAGAGGTGAAAGGCAGTGACAAGAAACTAAATAATAGTCCAAGCTCTTCAGAACTGGGGGAGCTGTATCCAGGAGATTGTGAGAGGAGCACCGTGCTGGCAAGCAGCTGGCGTTTCTTTTCACTCCGTTGGTAGCCAAGGGATCGAGGAGGTCCCAGCTAGCGGGTTAACCCTCTGAATTTAAGGGGCCATGTCTAGGCTCTGACCATAGTTGCTGTTTTGAGGTTGTTTGGTCTTTGTTTCCATTTTTAAAAGCATGAACACTTGAGGAAGCAAGACTGGATTTCAATGTTGGTCGCTGTCACTAGCTTTGTGACATTAGGAGCTGCTTAATCTCTCTGATTCCCAGTTTCCTAACCTGTAAAATGGGGATAATCACCATAATAAAACAACAACAGCTACTCAGGCTGATACTTAGTGCTCCAAACCTGCTAGCCGTCGTTCAGGTTTTGGCATTCTGATAGGAATGCATGATTTGCAACCTGTTACACAGTAACAGGTAGAAGAGTTTGAACCCTCCAAGGAACCTATCTTTTTAATCACTCATTAATGTCAGGGAAGCAGTGGACCGAGAAGTTAACTTGTCTGAACAAAGAAATTCGAAGACTGGAGAAATGTCTACATTTCCATACAAATCAGGCAAGTTTCATTGGGGTTTATCCATAACAAGGCTGGCTTGATTGATTGGTGAGTATTAGCAATGACTCTGCTCCCTTCACTGGCTCTTTTGAAAGCCAAGCTTCCTTCATTAGTGGTCCATTGGAAAGGACTTAGAAGAACATATACACAGAAATCTCTCTCTTCGAGCACACTCTCAGGAAAGGTGGCTTTGCTTGGGTGTTTGGATGCATCTGAGAAGATGAAGCATCTAAATGCAGCATGAAAAAGACCACAGAGATGAGCAGAACAGGAGGCAAGATAGGGAAATTGGATGGCTTCCTAACTCCAACTGAGTCAGATCATCACAGCATGGTTTTATTCCTTTGTTTGAAGTAAATTCCCAGAACATCAGACACACCCATACTCACATGTAAGTACAAAAACACTTTCTAAAGCCAAATGAAAATGATTCTCTGGATTGGCTTTTCTGCTACATTCTAGGCTTCCTAAATCTACCTTAACTGAAAATTAACTTTCTTGAAGTTCAGCTTTGGGGAACTGTAATCCTCCGTGAAACACAGAGAGAAACTGAGGCCAACTGAAGAGGCATGTTTGTTTTAAGATTTGTCAAATTACGAGATGATGAAAGAATTCACTCCTTCAATGTAAAAACTTTAAATGATAAATCTCTCTCTCTTTCAATAACCTGTACCTTATTTTTGCCCAATGATTTTAGTAATGGTCGTAAAAAGAAGTTAGACTATATAAAGAAACTCCCCTAGTATACAGAATTGAGGTGTTACTCTTTTAGCTTTGTCATGGACAAATTGTTTTTATTTGTTTGGCCTGTCTCTTGTTTTGTAAGACCTGGGAGCTAAGAGTAGATTTTTACATTTTTAAACAGTGGGGAAAAGTTAAAAGAAGAAGAAGATTTTGTGATGGGAAAATGATGAGAAATTCAAATTTCCGTATCCATGGAACAGTTTTATTGGAACACAGCCCTGCTCTTTGAATCATTTATATTGTCCATGGCTGTATTCACCCTACAACAGCAGAGTTCAGTAACCCTCAGAGCCTCAACACAGACCAGGTGTCCCTCAAAGCCTAAAATATTTAGTGCCTGGCCTTTTACAGAAGAATGTTTGCTAACCCCCAAGCTAGAGCTAGCTAAACCATACAATTCACTATTCTCCAAAGACAATGTTCCTCTTTTCTGATTAGTGAAACATGTGGTTAATTCCAATTCCACTGAATTTCTATAATTTAAAATCCTACCTTTTTTACATACAAGTCAGCATTACACACACAGTCCAGCAATCACACTCCTTGGTCTTTACCCAAAAGAGTTAAAAACCTGTGTACAGATATTTACAGCACTTTTATTCATAACCACCAAAACTTACAAGGAACCAAGACGTCCTTCAGTAGGTGAATAAATGGTGGTACATCCAGACAATGGAGCGTTATGCAGCACTAAAAAGAAATATGAACTATCAGGCCATGAAAAGGCATGGAGAAAACTTAAGTGCATGCTATTAAGTGAAAGAAGAAAATCTAAAAAGCCTGCATAATGTATGGTTCCAACTAGATGACATTGTGGGAAAGGTAGCATTATGGAGGTGATAAAAAGATCAGGGGTTGGTGGGAGGCAGAGATGAACAGGCAGAGCTCGGAGGATTTTTAGAGCAATGAAAGCACTGTACATTTATTACAAGGATGGCTATATATCATACATTTGTCCAAATCCATAGAATGTACAACACCAAGAGTGAACCCTAAAGTAAACTATGATGATTAGGTGACTGGGTGATTACACTGTGTCAACAAAGGTTCATCCTTAGTAAAAGAAAGGTACCTTTCTGGTGAGTGATGTTGGCCGTGGGAGGGGGGGGCTGAGTGTATGTGGGAGCAGTGGGTATATGGGCAATCTCTGTGCCTTCCCTCAATGTTACTGCAAACCCAAAATTGCTCTAAAACATTAAGTCTTTAAAAAAAAATTCTACCTTTCCTTCAAGGTTCTCTTTACTAACTCCTTCCTTCCTTACCATAAATATCAATTCATCGTTTATTATAAAAATAATTTTTAAAAAGAATAAACTTTTTAAGGGCACTATCCCCTTTGATTCATATGTCATGGTTCCTTGTTGCATGCGCCATTTCCTTTGCCCAGTTTTATATACTAGTGGGGAAAGACTGAACCGTATCCATCTTTGAATCCAACAAAGCGTCTAGCAGAAAGCTGTAACACAGGAGACACTAGGGAATTAATGCTTCTTTTTTTTTTTTAAAGTAAGCAAGTATACTGTATTTGAAGACCAAATGCTTATTTATTTATCTGTTTATTTATTTTTATTCTCCTTGACCCTTTTCTTCAGTTCACCGTCTTAATGAGCTTTTCTATCATTTCTTGCCCATCTCCACCTCTTCTAAGGCCCAAGACCCCCTTACTGCCTGCAGATTCCACCCAACACTGTAATTACTAGACGGTGCCTGGGGTTTATCTTGATTTATCCTCTCGGCTCTCAAAATTTTCCTTCGTTGTGTCTTGTTCCCACTTGAAGGACTCTGTTATCCCATGTTCCGAGCCTTCCAGGATATACATGATAAGAAGCAAATGAAAAGGAAGAAAAAGTTAACTTGAATTTGCTTCCTCAAGGAGCAAATCTAGCTCAGCAGTTTTAAAAGCCGATGTACTCTCACTTCAGCAAAAGATTTAAATAAAAATGATGAAAGTGTATTATTCAAAAGAACCTGATACAATGAAGAAATCATGCTAACAGGTTAAGAACAGCACTATCCTGCCCAAAAGGGGAAGAAAATGTGAGCATACCTTTAAAAATTTCTCTTGGATATTAAAGTTATGTATATTTATTATCAATAATATGAATAAGAGCACAAAGGAGACACTAAAAATTAATCAGGAGCCCCAATTTCCTTCGGCAAAATTATTTCCAGTTTTTTTCCCTATTGTTTTAAGAAAAATTTGAGACTCACTTGTATTTACAATTTTGAATCTTGCTTTCTAACCTTTGTCAAGGAGCGCTGGTCTTCATGCAAAAGAACGCATCACTAAGTATGGAGTTCCAGACGCCCAGGAGCAGCGAGCGAAGCAGAGCTTTGGCGCACGGGCTGGCTGCTAGCACTCCCCAGCCGTGCCCACGTTTACGGGTAGGATGTACTCTATGTTGTGGGCATTCACTGATACTGTGCCCCGAGACTGCTTTGTCAACTGTCCAACATGCCACATCTGTGATGCAATATTTGAAGTCGCGCCCAAACACTAGGCGAATCCTATTTCTCTGCAAGAAGTGCTTGTAAATCGAAAAGTCATCACCCTCCTCAAGGAAGCATGCCTTGTGGAAATGGGAATTGCATCAAAGCTGGTTGATCAGACTTCAAAGGATGCTCTTGTTCTAAAGATTCTTTTTCTATTATGAACTTTTTTTTTGGTCTCTTCAAGGGAAGATGTGAGAGAATTCTCTGAATACTTCAAGCTGCAAACCCCTAGCTAACTTCATTACCATATTGATTATTTCATCAAGAAATATTCGAGGGAGATTAATTTCCCTGCATAACGTCCTCAGTTCTCCTTCAGTTTTCACGTGATGGCATAACCCTCGCCTCCTCTCCTCCTGCCCCTCTTGTACTTTTTCAAACTGCAGGAATGAATTGTAAAAAGGAAGGTCCTCGTTGCCTCCCTCTCTTTCCCCCCTAACGCTTTCCTTCCCCCCTCCGTAAGAATTAAAAGTGATATTTCTTTTGACAGCTGGTAACTAATCCCACCTTAGCAGGAAAGAGAACAGGAAGCCAGCAAAGGAATTTTCCATTCCTATGTCTCTTTTAATTTTTTTCCACATCAGGTACTTTTCAAAACCTAGACATTTGCAGTGAGCCTGTATGTCTTCTTGTTTTGTCTACTAGAGCCACGTGTTCCGAGCTTCTCCTGTGCTGGCCGAGGACAAACCTGACTGAGCTGGTGTTTGTCTTTGGAGGAGGGAGAATTTGAGAACTTTCGAGTCTCCAAAGGGAACATAACTGAAATGTGATGCCTTTGCTTATGCAAACGGGATTTTTCCTGTTGTAAAGATAAAGTTCACACAGCTAGTCCCTCAAACCGCAAGTCAAAATGCTTCATACTGTAAGGAGAACGACAGCTCTGACTCTTATAAAATAAGTTTCTGCTCAACCATCTTTTGCCCGGCAGACAGCTTGGCTTCCTGCCTCCTCCCCTCTCTCCTTTCCTTCATTTCTTCCTTTCTTTTCTGTTTAAATGCTAAAGGGCTCTGTGTAGTTTATGTTCTGAGTCTTCCAGAGTGTACAGGATAAGAAGTTAGGGGGGAAAGGAAAAAAAATAATCAGCTTGAATGTGTTTCCTCAAGGAGCAATCCACTTTAGCATTTTCATAACATAAGCACACTATTTCAATAAATGATTTTTTTAAATGATGAAATTATAGTTTCCAAACAAAATGGGAATGACATGCATCTATGTCAGTGGGTGTCATTTCAAATGAAGTAATTTAATTAAGATGATGTCTACAGCGACATACTAGATTCTGTGTAAGTAACTAAAAACACAGCTCTAAAACTGAAGTCGACTCTTCTCTGAAGTTGACTCTTCTCTGAAGTTTTCCAACTGTATATTTTTACTGTGGCAATAATGATTAGAATCTAAATAAAAGGAACAAGAAACACTCACTGAGTGGATACTGGCAGCAGGTCCCGTTTTAGACACTTTTCATGTATCACCCCTTTACTTTTCTCACTTAACCAACAGGGAAGCGGAGTCAGGCCCAGGCATCTCCTGCTGTCTGCTCAAGGCCCCACGACTAAGAGATAGAGGCCCCGGGATATGAATCCAGGCAGTTGGGCTACAGGACCAGAGCTCGTAACCCCTTGTTTTTGCCTAAGTATTGAACGAGCAAACCTTTCCTTGGTCTAACAAATATACTGTCTTGATTAGATATCAGCTACGAGCCCCCATTCCCCAGACCGAGTCTCACCGGCCCCCAGAGGAAAGCGAAATTCATCTCAAATTATGGCAACGGCACAGCAATGCTTGCATCTCTAGTTCCAAAACAACATCAGCTGAGGACAGGGCTGGGCACAGCTGAATCACAACGAAAGTCTCAAAATGTGAAGCTGAGGCTGTGCTTCTTTTCTGGCAGATTTAAAGCTCAGCGTAAAGCAAGTCTACCAAGTGAATTTATTTCTTGGTGTTAATTTTCTGTATGGTTGTTCAGTATGTGTTGAGGGTGTTTGCTTAACTCAGAATGATTCTTATTTTTTGGAAACTTCCCGACTCTGCCTCAGGTATTCACAGCTCCACAGTGTCCCTGCCTGAGTTCTAGACTTTCCAGTGGATCTCATGTGAAGATCACCACCATCTTCTCCTAGATCCTTTCAGACTCTGATTGCATCTTATTCCTGTGATAAAGTCCCCTCTCTGCCTATTTTATTTATTTACTTGTTTAAATAATCTCAAGTTCCTAGGACTTTTGGATCACTCACATAGCAAACAATGAACACCACTAAATCACAGCAACTCCTTGAACTTTTTCTCTAAATCTGACATATGCTATATAGCAAAGCAGACAGAAAATTCGGATTTTTGCTTTTTTCTAGAAGTGACAGAAAAGCAGAGAAGAATGGGGAGATGGAAGAAGGAGGAAAAAGGATAAGGCAGAAGTGAAGGAGGAAAGGATCTTCATCTTTTATAAAATTTAGGCATATATATGTACACACATACACACACACACACACCCCTCTTCAGAATTTGATTAAACACACATTGACTGAGCAGCTGTATATTACAAAGAATGTGCTGAACACCGTAGTTATAAACTTGAGTAAGCTCTAGTCCCCTGCCTGCATTCAGGGAGTTATTAGTCTAGTACAGCAATATAAAAAATTTTTTTTAATTGCTGGATTTTAGGTAATCTGAATGCTTAAAAGAAGCACAAGCCATTGTCACGGAAGCAAAGTAAAGACAATTCTATCTATTGGTGGAGATCAGAAAAAGTTGCTTGCAAGTGATGATTTCACAATGAACCAATTGTTGGACCAACTGACATCTTTCCAAGTCCAACAACCCCCATTTCCCGGCTCTCAGATGTCTGCCTGTGATCTCTCAACAAACACAGTGCATTCTTTCCCGGGTGTGTTTGCCCTAACAAACTAATAGCCTTAGGTAACGCCTAATCTTACAATAGCCCAGGCTGGCTTTTTTCAGCCCACCTTATCAGAGTCATTCACGGACCCTAAACCTCGTACCTCATCTACAACCAATCAGAGACTTGTGCACAAGCCAATCAGGTACCTTGTGACCCGACCTGATAAAACACCCCCACAACCGGCCCTTGGGGCTCACGCAGGCTCCTCTCGCCCGTGTGGCCTGCTGTTGTCTACGACAGTGTACCCCTAATAAACTCCTTTTTATTTCTATACTTTACCTCTGGTAAATTCTTTTACCAACCCCCTGTCACTGTCACTTGGCCGTCACATTGTGTCCCACAACACCCAAGAAGTGGAGAAGGTTATGAATGTATTCCGAACCCAAAGAGAAGCATGCACAAAGACAGAAGGGAGAAACTACTGGAGAAACAATAATGTTGCAGGTTGACTGTGGCTTGGGGGCACCTGTCATGAAGCAAAGACTGAACAGTGATGAGATCCAGATCCTGGGAGAACTTCACCATCAGATGAGGACACTGTACTTGATTTAGCGGGGAGCCACGGGAGGCAGGGGTTAGAAATGTGAATCTGGCCCACCTGCAGCACAGTTTAAGTGGGTAAAGACAGTCAATGCGGGAAGGGTAGAAAAAAGGGGGGATAAAAAGGAGTAGTTCATGACGAGTGTTGATGTTAGCGGGCAGAGGGAGGATGAGACCGACTTAAATGAATAAAACAACTTTATCTTATTTAGCAGCTGATAGAACTAAGCAATCGGAGAGAAAGAAGTCAAAGATTATTCCAAGTGTTCATGATCTGAGTGTGTGAGAGGAATTTTTCTGAAGATTCTTCGCTTCTGAATGAGAAGACTATTCTCCACGGCATCAGCTAAGTACAAGCAGTCAACTGTATGGGCAACACCACCAGAAAAGTCAGGAAACTGGATTTCACTTCTTGACTGAGAACCAACCAGAAGTGTGATCTTTGTCAAGACACTGCATTTCTTTGGATCTTTGTTTTCTAGTATGCAAAGCAGAAAGTTGGATAATCTCTGTTATCTCTTCTAGGTATCATGAACGAAGAACAAAAGAGCGCTGTTCACCACCCAGTTCTAAAGGGTGAAGTGATAACTCACTCCACTCACCCACCAACAATGCACCTTGAGAGGAACTCAGGATGGAAAACAAGGTCGGACGCTCTGTGCTTTAGATCAACAGGCCCTCAGACAGTTACGTGCACATCTCAGGAAGAAGTTCAATGACCCCAGATCCCTGCAGCTTCTCAAGAAAAGCGCTGACACCATCAGCTGAAGATTTCTGCTCTTTGTGATTAGCAGTAATCTTTTACCAAGAGGTATGCTTGATTGCATGCCTTTCCCAGCCAAAAAAAAAATCATATATAAACGGGCTTCCCCCTACCTCTTTGGAGCAGTTTCTCCAGAGCTAACCAGGCAGCCGTTTCCTGGGCTATAGTCCTCAGTAACTCCCTGAATAAAACTGAAACGCACAACTCTCAGGTTGTGCATTTTCCTTTAAGTCAACAGTATATAACTTTGTTGTTCTATCTGTCCATATTATAATGAGATGTAACGGGGATTATGTCTTTTTCGCTCTACACTGCATACCCCATGCCTAACACAGTCCCTGGCCATGATGTGTCCAATAAACAGATGTTTAATGATTGAATGAATGAGTCAATGAATGAATCATTAGAAGATTGTGATTTATATCAAGGCAAAAGGACTGATTAGTTCAGTTCAAAAAAAGTCAAAGTAGCCATTTGAAAGTTTTAGCATAAAGGGCTGAGTTGGATTTATGGAGACACAATCTGTTTGACACTAAAAATTATAGTTCTGCTTTACAAAGTCTTATAATCATAAAAGTTATCTGCTATCGCTCACAGGTAAATGTTCCCAGCAAATATTAGTCTTCCAAATGGAAGATTTCTCTATGTTTTTGTATGTTATTTCCATTGCATACATATAGGTTGGACATACTGCACCGTATAAAATATAGATCAAGTTAAGGCTGAAATGGAAGGAGTTACTGTGAGGTTTCATAGGACTGGAAATCTTGTATTTAGCTGTGGATTTGTGTAGTGCTGTGTAAAGACAACATATATCTTGAAGTGTTCTTTTTTCTGTAATATATTGACTAACTATATTTATAATGTTCAGTTGTTTCAATACTTTGTAAACCACAAGTCAGCTTAGAAAGCAACATATTCCACATTTCAACTATTTACTTTGATTTATATACATAAGGGTAAAGAATGAAAGAGCCAATATTTAGCAGAATTGTATAGACAAACCTTTGCATACAGTTAGTTATTCTAGAGAGCTCATTTGGCATTAATAATTTTACTTATCCTGATCTATGCATTTCAAAAAGTTTTCTAAGTACCAATATATACTCTCTCTCTCACATATACACATATACACACACATATTACCAAATTCCTGAATATTTAATACTATGTAATCAAGATACCCAGGTGATAGATTATTTATTTTTAATAAAGATGTTTGAACATTATATCTAATGGATTTTGTACTACCTCACTGCAATCCTTAACCCACTACCATTTTTTCTTTTTTAAAAGTTAATAATATAATGAATTAGACATGCAAAAAATTCAGTCTAAGTGTGATGCTGTGTTTATAAAATCTCTTCCTGGCACAGAGCTCCTTGAAACCCTTGGAATTTCCTGCAAGAAGAGCAGTAACGGTGTCTTTTGTTACATTAATGAGGTAACTTCTGGAAAGACCTCAGGTAACCTAAGCTGATGGCTGGTTGCCAGGGAAACCAACATTGTGATTAGAAGGCCCTAACTATCAGCTCCACCTACTTTAACCTCTGAGGAGGGAAGAAGGTCTGAAGGTTGAATCAATCACCACCAGCCAATGATTTAATCAAGTGTGGCTATGCGATGAAGCTTCCATAAAACCTCAGAAGGATGGGGTTCAGAGAGCCTCCTAGCTGGTGAACATGTGTAGGTTCAGGGACAGTGGCTCCTGGAGAGGGCATGGAAGCTCCATACCCTTTCCCCACATCCTGCCCTAAGCATGCGTCTCTGCCATCCGGCTTTTCCCGAGTTAATCCCTTTTATAATAAATAGGTGATCTAGGAAGGAATGTTTCTCTGAGTTCTGTGAGCCACTCTAGCAAATCAGTTGAATCCAAGGAGAAGGTTGTGGGAATCTGCCGTACAGCCAGTTGTTGATAACCTGGACTTGCAACTGACATTCGGAGTTGGAGAGGGTAGCTGGAACTTCCAATTTGTCGCCACCAGTCAGAAGCACAGTTAACAACCTGGGACTGCACCTGGTGTCTGAAGAGGGAGGGGGGACAGTCTTGTAGAACTGAACCCTTAACCTGCAGAAGCTGATGCCACCTCCAGGTACAGAGTTTCAGAACTGAGCTGAATGATAAGACACACAGTTGATGAGGATCGCCTCTTACTGGTGGAGGAACTTAGCACCTGCAATGTTGGAATCGGGTCTTGAAACCCAAAAGACCACGGTATAGTCTAACTATAATAAAATAAGATAAAGTAACACTTTCAAAGATGATATTTAATATAATCTAAAGAAGTAAATATAGTGTATTCATGTCAATAATTTATAAGTCACAGAGAGGTTTTTACAGTAGATTTAGCTCATTACACTGTTTATCCACAAAGCATTTTAATAGGTTCAGTGTTAGGGATCATTATATTTCTTAATAATGAACTTAGAATGGGGTTCAAATGAATGCATTCTCCCCTCTCATGCAAACTGATATCTCTGGGGAGTCGGGGTTGGTAGAAGAAAGAAGCGTCACGGTGTGCGCAAGTGTGCACATGTGCGTGTGTCGGCTTTAACTGAAAAGCTCTGAAACTAATGACATGAGGCTCCTGATTGGCTACCAGAATAGACTGCTCTTGAGCAGGTGAGCTGGCTGGGCTCTCCTGAAAGTGGGAGATGGAAATGTTCGTACTCCACTTCCAATCACTGGGCCCATCTGTCTGTTTTCTCTTCGCCCGCCCACAGAGCAGAAAGGCATGCATTGTTCTAGCAGGACAGAACATGCAAGATTGGAATTCTTCTTCTTCCCCTTATACCAATTTTCACAAAACATAACCCAGTGGAAGAAAACACAGGGCTCCCCAAGCGTCTACTGAAAAACAATCCATTTTTCACTCATCAGATAACAACACTTAATGACTTGGTAACCCAACTTCGCTTTCCGATGGCCTTAATGAAAAGGCCAGTTCACTCCATTTGGAAATCAGTGAGATGAATCGTAATGAAAAGCCATGATCCTCTGCCAGGATTGAGCAAAGGCCATGAATAGCCCAGCTTAGAAGCTGAATTTCTTGTTTTCCTTCCTGTGTGGCTCTCTTTGAAAAGGCAAGAAAATGGTCCATTTGGCCTTTGGAAAACCCATCTCAGAGTATGAGGCCCTGCCAACTAGTTAGGTTCATCCTGGGTAAAGGAAGCCATGGGGGCATTAGGAATAAAATGTCCAGAGGACACATTCAAAAATAAAGACAAAGTAACATGTTTAGATTTTCTTGCTAATATAGTGAGGGTGGTGAGCAGATTCTATTCCTCCAGGGCAGAGAGTCCTGGCCCATTTTAGTGTTTAGTGCCCCACGTGCCCATCACCCATGAGTTCCCCTTTGTGGTGTAACAGTTAGTTCTGCTATAACATGACCTATGTGTTCTTAAAAATCACCATAATCTGCAAAGAAAACAAACAAACAAACAAAAAACAACCCCCACCCCCGACCAGGACTTACGGAGATAATAGGGTTAGGGGCACAACACTCAAAAATGTTGTCACCAATACACTGAAAAATAAAAATAAAAGACAGGACCCTGACAAAAATAGTGGCACTGTTTTCTACATGGTCACTGTTAAGGAATGCACAAATGCTACAATAAACATAGCACTTTGCCTTAGGAAAGGCCTGAGGTTGACTTGGGGAAGCGGGCATCAGAAGAAAGATTTGCAGCTTGTGAGCTACTGTGAAGTGGTGGAAGGAGGGGTCTCTGAAATGTGATGGAAAGTTGTACGACCAGATGTAGGTGGATGAGCTCATAACACACTCGGTGAACTGAGAAAACCGGGAGATGTTTGGGGATTGTGTATGTGTTGTGTATTCCTATGCAGCTCCATTGAGGTGGATGCAGTTTTTTTTTCACCCGCCTAGTGTTTCTGGAAAACAAAATCATGTATAGGCAAACAGGAAGCTCGCTCAAATGGTACGTGATGCTCAAGCAAACACGCTACGTCCAAATTGTTCCTTAGTATATCAGGTGCGCTGGCGCTAATTTGCATGTTCAAAACAAGTGTTATAGCAGAACTGACTACACAATCTCAGGTTATACTTACTGAATACCTAAACAGTCAAATGAAGAGTTAAACTTTTTCTTAACTCTGTGAAGATTTCCAAATAGCCGTCCAGGGTTGTGTTGGCACATGAAATCATTCTACCGCTATACGTTTTACCTGTCCCCAGTAATGTCATTTCTCTCCTCCTACGAGATGATCATAATATGGTAGAGTCAAAGATTGTTCAAGAGCTTTTCTTCTTATGTGACGGGGTGCCTTACTGATTAGATGATGCTACCTTTCCTGTGCATCTTTTGTCTTTTATCTCAGCTCTGTTTTTAATTCTTCTGTTTGTTTCAGATCTTAATCAAAGCATAATACAGCATAACATCTATAGCACTGCTACTGTTACATTCTGAAAATGTATCCAGAAATTTCTTGCCCTTGAAATGTCCTTTTCTTGTTTCATTTAAAATTGGATTTTGTTGTTATTATGTGTGTCTGTGTTTTGCCAGTTCTATGATACTAATTTACTTATGTAAAATATCCAAAGCAAATGCCTTTTAATATATTTCATCTGATTTTTTCAATAATGTGCAGAGTTCAGGATCTTCTCTGTCTAGGAATCTTACCCACTCTTTGGAAAGGATTTTACAAGGATATAATGTAAATATGAAGTAACAGGAACACCCACATCATGTTTGGCCTTTTTTTCCATCAAGTTTTTAATGCTATCCAAGAAAGCAACCTATAAAACATCCACACACGTATACACAGTGCAAACCTTCTTGTAAACACTCCTTCTGTGATTAAATTGATTCCTGAAGAATTGGCTAAGCCAATCAGTGCCAAAGATCACTTTCAAAACTTCCTGTGCCCCTGAGAATGCTTTGTGTTAATAATATGCATTAGTTTTACAGCCACTTAAGAAAACCAAATCTTTCAGGTCAAACCAGAAATGGAGAGCCAAGATTAAAACTAGGGGAAAATTCTATCACCTCTGTAGATTAAAGTGAATGCAGACTTCTGGAAACTAAAGAAAGCAGAGCATTTCGGAAGATTACTAAAAGTCTCAATCTCTGGATATTTTATCCCAAAGCCTACCAACAGAAAACTGGGCCATCCAGGGACAGAGGCCATGTATTGATCTGGACAGGATGATCGATGAGGAAAAGGGGAAAGAGCCAGGCCTAGGATCACAATTAAAAACACAAAACAAAACAGAGGAAAAACTGGTTCTCAATGCAGCTGAACTTGCTAAACAGGATCCGTTTGCCACTAAAAGGAAGAAAATAGAAATTTTAGAGAACTTTTAAACTCCTTCACATTTAGAAAGACAGATTTCTTACTTTTCCTGAATATAAGTAAGTAAATATTTACCAATCAATCCATCCCAGGCCCTTCCTGGGGAACCTTGCTTGAATTACCAAATAGGGATATCATGTGAGAACAATTATTTGCTCTCTAGAGTTAAAAGGAAGTCACCAGATGTTTCATGCAGGGAACATGACTTCATCAAAGGTATTAAACACTCCTACCTATGTTTCTTTGAAGACTTTATGGAAACAATATAGTTTGCTTTCTCAGGGTAGCATAATACGGTTCTTCCATAAACTATAGATGGTTGGTGAGTCAGTTTTCTCATTTTGTCCCCTACTTGTCCTTTTTTTTCCCCCCCTAGAGACAAGAGACTATCAAAGGCTGAAGCCTGCATGTTGCATAACTGTCCCAGCTCTCCCAACACTGCTCACTGGATTTCTGGAGTTTTAAGCAAAGCAGGGAAATATGTTTTTTTTTAAAAATCAGGTTCTTTTTACAGAGGGAATTCACATTTCCAATGCCCTGCCCTTATTGGGTTACTGTTCTCATTCTACATGAGAGATTTCTCGCATGTGATTGTAATTCCTCACATTTGAGTTATTCAAATACCACATCGTGGCCTGCCTGTAATAGTGCCTTTGGTGATTTATTTAAAAAGAGAGAGAGGGAGAGAGAGAGCTCAGATGAATGAACCTTAGGGATTCAAGAGGCAGAAACTGAATTGTGCAGTGCATTCAACTTGGCAGCAGAGTCTCAGGTTCACTCCTCTGGCCCAGTTCAGGTATCAGAAACTGGAGGAGAGCAGAGACAGTACTCAGTCGAAAACACTCCTGTCTGATCAGTTCAAAGCTTGTGACAGGTGACATGCTGTCTAGATCTTTGGGGGAGAGGAGGCAAACAACGAGAGGGGTCCAGGCGAGGGAGCAGCCAACTGAAACATCCCAAGGCAGGTGTAAGATACTGGAATTTAAAGGAAAAAGAGAAGGAAGTAGCAGG